GAATAAAGCAGAAACTTAGAGAATGCCTCACACAAGTCCTGTGTTTTGCAGTCAGCATTCCGTACTATGCGACCGAGAGATGAGGCTGCGTTCATACTTTGCGGCAGCGTCTACCAGCTTCCACCAGCGAGCACTAGTGTTCCGAGCTTGCAGCAGCCTCAGCGTCTAGGAAAGTATAGATGTCGATCTAGTGTCTGCCAGCGTCCACAAGCGTTCACTAGCGAACGGGAGTAGTGGGTACGGGGAAATGGGAAGGTAGCAAACAGGTGTTAGGCGTCGTGACATTGCGGCGTGTGCAACCGCACCGCACAGAATTACGCAATTAAATGTGCGGTGTGGTGTAGTTGTACGGTGTGGTTTTCACGACGCCTAATCCAGCTGTTTGCTACCATCCTACTTCCCCATACTCTCTAGTCGGTCACTGGTAGACGCTGGCAGACGCTGAATCGACACCTATATACTAGCCTAGCCGTAGAGACGCTGGTAGGCGCTGGTGGGCGCTGGCAGACGGTGGTAGACGCTAGCAGACGCTAGATCGGTATCTATACTTCCTAGTCGCTGACGTTGCCGGGCGCTCGGAACGCTAGTGGACGCTGGTAGACGCTGCCGCAAAGTCTGAACGCAGCTCGAAGAAATACGGATGAGAGACCGTACCGCGAAAAGCAAGAGAGCGTGAAGGGATGCGATTCCGCTGCCATCCGAAATGTATTTGCTTTGAGCGTAGTCACTGTAAGGAGTGTGTATAGATGTTCATAATAAGCCTTCTAGAGCGCACCATCGCGTTGTAAGAAGTTTCTGCTAAATAATATAAATAAACGTCTATACAATATAATAAGCAATTTCCCCGAAAAAGAGGGACTACACGTAAAACATGAGACTATATCTAATCGGATACTTGTACTTTGAATGTTCGCGCGCTCTCAGCGGTGGGACTGGAGTGAGCTATTTCGCAGTATCTTTTCAAAATAGGCCTCCTCCTGTTCCTATAAGAACTCCCGGAATACGCTTTTTTACAACTTTTTCGATAGTTGAGCCTCTAAAGAGGGCAAACAGCATTGTGAAGCTCTCAATCTGATATCTATTGACTATGCCCAGGCCATGAATTGACCGCAGCCAAGAAATCCTTGGCCTAAGGGATTGGTTCCAGGTGGACCCCTAATTACTCATCTTATCGTTCTCATGGAAACTTCCAATTACCAGAATTTTCTTCGTTTAGCTTTCCGACCAAAAGTCACCTGGGCTGATCGAATAATCGATGGTTCGCCCTCTGAGCCATCTTTCAAGTAAGAGCATTTCGTTTATATCATATTTATTACACTTATAAAAACCAGTCCCATTATGAGGCCCTTCCATCCTCATGTATGAGGGTTGTTTTTGCTAACTTGATTCGCGGAGTAGAATTTCCAGGGAGCATTGGTGAATGGTCGTCGGATCATAGAGACTATGGAGCTTGTGGCTTTGCATCCCTCCACCGACGACGCTGGACCAGCTGCCCAGTGGCCCATTTCACACCTATCCCATAAACTCGGCTGTAGTGCGGTTGTTTTTTTCGAGCTGAATGATGACAGTAAAGATAAAAAGGAAGAAAGAGCTGAATTTGACGCTTTTCAGCTTAATAGGAGGGCTGCGTTTTGCAAAGCTGCTAGTTTCCTTTGATAGGTCATGTTGTTAAGTCGTTTATACTTTGCGGCAGCGTCCACCGGCATTCTGAGTGTCCGGCAGCCTCAGCGACTTGGAAAATATAGATATCGATCCAGCGTGGAAAATATAGATATCGATCCAGCGTCTGCGGGCGTCCTCTAGCTTCTACCAGTGTGCACCAGCGCCTACAAGCGTCAACCAGCGTCTCGAGGGCTAGGGAAGTATAGGGAACCACTAGGTGGTATTAGCATGAATGACGCCGAGAAACGATTAATGAGCCAAAGGCGGTAGGATATTGCTTCAAAGGTGTTTTCCTGATTTTTCGCTTCCATCTTCTCTGAAGGATCGCTTGAAAATTATAGGCTCTTTACTGAACCCCATCACACGCAATATACAGTCGCTGGTTCGTCTTTAACTGAAAAGTGAGAAAAAGAAGAGGCGAGAGTGAGGAGTGCCTCAGTGACACACAAATTGAACTACATTATGTCATCATCAGTAAAGGGTCAAAACACCTCATCAACTTGATGTGTGACGTCACCTACCTTCCAACAAGTCACCTACTGGTTAGTTAGTTAGTTAGGTGGCCCGCGTACCTGTTCTATATTAGCGCCTTCATCTGCACTCTCTGATTCCACTACACTGCATGTGAGCCAAATAGTGAAAGGAAGTCTGGAAAAGAAGTATATTCCAGGATATCGGGTGGCTATTTGATTCTTTTGGGCACAATTATTTACTTCATTGTCGCAGCGGCACTCTTTATATGTTTCTTGGGTTGCCGGGCGAAGACTAACTCTGTTGCGGGCTGACAACAAGTTCTGTCGTCGGACCATATGATACTACGAATAAAAGTGAATACTCCAGAACATTATAGCGTTGTAATATACATCGACGTATTATAGCTTTGTAATATACATCATATTTGTTTAATTTTAAGTATGTGAAAAATGTTGTGTGAATAAAATGCGGGTATATTCAGTGAATTGTGAACATGTTTGTTTTGTTTCAAAGGCTCGGTCCGCGATCAAGTATAGAAGTTGGAAATATGGCGTCGGGAGGTAAAGTGGTCCGCGACGAACAACCTTGTACCGGTTTCCGCGGCGAAAATTGTAAGGGAGGGGCGCTACAGCGCAATATAGGTTCAGTGACGCCTCCTTTTTCCAGTGACCCGCTCATGGTCGCCTTCAAGGCCCGCACCTTTTCCAGTGAAAAGAAAGCTGCAAGTCACGAGAAAGCATAAAAATCGTTCTGTACACTGTACTATCAGTAGGTCCTGTATCGGGGAATCAGCTTGTGCGTACGTAGCTTTGATAGATGAGGTTTATTGGGTGGCGTCACAGACCTGGGTATCGCAGATGGGGTTCTAATTTTTGCTAGGGAAACTGGCATGACTTTTTCTGCTTTTTTCTTCACTATCGAGTTACTCATAACCTTGTAATCTGTATGCATACCCCTAATCCACTATATGTGATGGTAAATTATCGCGGGTTTTGCATTTGGATTAAGTATAGATCGATACGCCATGGGGCCTTGGGGGAGTTCGTAGTTGAAGACTGCACCCATCAATTGACAGAAGTGCAAAAGTCCTTCAGCCTACAAGAATGGCGAGAAACACGGATAACGGAAGGCATTGTTATTTGGTAGAGCAAACGAAGACAGAGAGCCTCAGTGAAAGACACCGGGGACTTCTCAAAAGGACCCCTCACTGACAGTGATGCCAGCGACGAGACATGGGCAGTCGGACGTGAATAGGTGGCGACGGTGTGACAAGAACGCGAACTCATGCGCGGAACTAACTCCAGGGAGCAGAGAACACGCCGGAAACTTAGGCAAGCCACTCCTGATCCAAACTATCAAACATGCAGCTGCGCGTCGCTTATCCCATGTTAACTCCTATGCGAAATGTGCGACCGGGATGCAAGTTCACACTCTTTTCTATCGTTGTCTTCAAAGAGTAGCTAAAACGTGAATCTCCTTCACTCTAGTTTGCTGCGGACGGTTGGGCGTGTCTGGCAGTATGAGTGTGCCACCCCGTGAAAGCCGTTGCCTACCTTCTTGAAGCGCGCATGCGACAAAAAGTGGTAGAAAACGAATAGTACGAACGATATGATACAGTCCAATATCAAAACCGGTTTGCAACCGGCGTCAAACTCATCCCGCCCGACACGCCCAACCGTCCGCGGCGAACCACACTATACAGGGGGGCCCAATAAAAAAGTCATTTCGATCGAGTCACATATCAGCAAAGTTTTCGCAGCCCAGACAGAGGAGCACGATTACGCTGGGGAAGAATAACCCAAGATGTTTCATCGATAAGCAAGGAGCTGGCTCTTCCCATCAGCTTCAATGACACAAAATATGAATACATTTCCGTAGCAATCTGACTGGAGAACCGCTTGAAGATTCATCACGTCACCTCCAAACAGGCTGCGAAAACTTCTTAGTGTGAGCCACCACGGGTAGCTACCTGGAGACGCATCAACTCTCAAATGTGGACAGACCTCCAACATCGAACGCCAGCTCCGAACAAACGTGCTACGGTCAAGACATCATCTCACTGCAGCGCCAAGGGGTTGATGATGGACCGGAAGTTTCTGCAATGGAAAGACCGATATTTTCTTCGTGGACTCCGGACTAAAGGTGAGCGCTGGGGATTTCATCGAGCAACTCGAGAGAATTTCCTCGCTCACATGTGGTCGCCCGTACCTTCTTGGAAACTTTGTACTGCTACAGCATTGAGTGCCACCACATGAAATCAAAGGGCGTTGGAAAAACTTTCGCCTACTTGGAATGGAAGGGCGTTGAGTACCTGAAGAAGGTGGAATATCTGAGCAGGTCACCTGAACTGAACCCCTCAATTACCTGGTTCGGGCGGAGTTCAATAGGGTGGTCTACGGTGGCGGAGAAATCGACTATCTCGCTGATCTCAGGCACCACATCGCGGTCGCGTGCCAGAATCTCTCGATGGCGCTCGTCCAGAAGGCTGTGGCGGAGTGTTCAATATGCTCTTCAAGATGGTGTGGAAATGTCCGATCAGAATTTAAGAAAGTGTAGCTTATAGCGCCTCGAAAGTCAAGGAGGGAAGAAGTGACTTTTTTATTGGCCGTCCCTGTATATAACAGGGAGAATGAGCTTCAGTTCAAATAAACCCAATTATTCAAGCTTGCTAAGCAGATCGAACGGTCATGATATCTGCTGATTATCGTTCGGACTGGTGGGGGGCGCCAGGAGGTTCATTTCTCAGTTTGTTCACTTCAAGGTAGGCTTTTTCACAGAGCAAAAGGCACGGTTCAGCAGTGCATTCCTCTGTTCTAATGCTATATTGAAGAAAATTTCCACAGAAAGACAACTCGCTGATCCGGATGTACGAAGAGCGCTACTACTCGTCTCCTGTGGCAGGTTATCCTCCTTATTATGAATCACCTGTCACGTATACTCCACCGCCACATCGAGCTTATCTTCAAAGATATCCTTATCCTCCACCTATTGATCCTTACTACCCACCCTCACCGTACTACTACTATCCTTCGTTTGATATGCGACACGGATATAGGTAGATTTAAGAGCTTGAGGGCCCCTGAACAGATTTCTTTCAACAGGTTTCTTTGCAGACGTGATTTCGAAGAGGGTTGTCTGGGAGCATGCCTAGGATGCTGTTTAGCATATCTGCTTTGCTGTTGTCTGACTACGACTGGAGATTGTTACTGTTAACATTAATCGGCATTGTTTTACTCAAAGAAGTCAGCAGCTTTAATAAACTATTCGGAATTTTCTAGTGTTCCAACTTCAAGGTGTAGACTGGAAACTGGATCTATTGAGCTCCCAATAGATCCAAAGACTTGTGCATGGGAAAGGAACTGAGCGACGAAGGGATAGGCACACAAAAGGCATGGTTGAGCGCTGTAAAGTGCTGTGCAACAGCGCTCCAGAGCTAAAGACGTAAACGCAACCGCAGACAGCCTGTCGCGATCGCCACCAGTGTGGGTGACTGAGAAACACCCAAAACCCTATTGTACAAGCAGGCGGCGCCCAGCGATTCCCGCCTGCGGCTGCGTTCGCGTCTACAGCTTTGAAGCGCTGTTGCGACTGTAGCGCGTCTACGTGGACAGCAGCGCGTAAGAGCGCGTTGACGCGTGTTGTCGCGAATTCTGAACGTTGACGAAGAGCGGGACAACAGATAGCAACACGCTCACCAATACCAATCACGTCCATCGTAGAAAAATTCGAGCATAACGAGGTCTAAGGTCGAAGTGAACCTGATCCCTTCGAGAATGCCATTTTTCTGATCTTATCTTGCGTTTCCTTCTTCCATGATCACAAGTTTCAAGCTTAGTAAGCGGCTACCGGTATGGAATGTTACTTCTTAGCCTCAGCATTGCAGCACGAACCGACTAGGAGATAGAGTCGATGTACAGTAGTACAGTAGGGCTGTCAACCGATCCACAAGCACAGTGGATCTACCTCCACTCGCAGCTCGAGCACCCCACTTTTCATAGGCCAGTTCGCCGCGGACGAAGAGTGTCAGGCGGGACAAGTTCAGTTCCTCACCACGTTCTCCACCTTTTGTTCAAGCGAGCAAATGACAAAACTGTATCATATTCAACCGCATCACTCGTTATCCTTCACTTGACTGTTGACATACCACGCTTTCAAACAGCTGGCGCAAGGAACAAGTTTGGACCAGTGCCAACTCATACTGTCTCTGACACGCCTTTCGATCCGCAGATGAAATAGGTGTACATTTCATCACTAGAGGGGTCTCATATGAGGACTCATCGCTACTAGCTCTTTCCATTCAACATGGTGAGAGGGACGTGATAAGGGAAAGGAAATTGTACCGTTTCCATAACGACAAATCACTTGAGCATGTTCTCTTTTTCTCAAAGCTGGGTCTTAGGAGAGTCCGCGAGGTATTCACGGCTACATTCTTCTCTGTTTCGCTTACAGTTCGGTTAGAATGCACTCTGACATCTTGATTTGGATCTATCAACTTACATTGTGCTGTAACCGTTGCAATTCGAGCATGTCATGAGTATGATGTGGGTCGGGCGATATTCCGCACAACTATCATTGGTGAACAGCCGGAGACACAGGCACCGGCACAAAGCGAGATCCCTTGTGACCAAAGCGTTCTTCAAGGCCCTTCCATCAGTGACATTGGCAGCCCGTCCCTAGCCATCGTGTACACTGCCTTTAAAGGCAGCGCCCACGTTCATTTGATGTAATCCCGCGCCCTCCACTGGATATCATAGCCCTCGTTAATGAGAATGCAGTACGCACTAGTTTTGCATTTCAAAAAGGCGAGAGGATAGCGCCGTTGGAGAGTCGACCAACCCGCCCACCTGGCCAGCATAGGGCATTTTCCATGATTTTTTCTGCTTTTTTCTTCACTACTGGATCACGTATTATATGAGCTCCATAACTCATTATTCTTGAAAGCGGGCTCAGCCTTTAAAGGCTAAGCCAAAGCAGTTATGGCAGCCAGGTGGGCGGGGCGGCATCCTCTTCACAAGCGGGTGGCGCCATCCTCTCGTATTTTTGAGCTGCGAAATTAGTACATCCTCCACCCTTGTCGACAAAGCTACGATATCTAAGGAGGGCGTAGGAGCATCGAATGAACGCGGGCGCTGCCTTTAAGTCCATGGACAATCCATATCCAGAAGCCGTCCACGTAATATTCAGTACACATAGTGCCGTAAGAGTGCTGTGAATGTAATATCCAGCCAACAAGTCCAGATCAAGTTTTATTTGAATACCACAGATCAGATCAAGTGACTTTTTTCTTAGCTGCAGCTGCACCATCGGCTACCTGAACATACAAATAGTGATGCCTTGAACGCGGAGCGTTTTCTGAAAGCAGTTTCCGACCTTTTCACAACATTTTTCGCAACCAGCTTTCACGGCTTTTCCGCCTTCTTTGGTTTTATCAACAACGACTTCTGCAGCCTTTTCACATTTATTGCCTGCATCTTTCAATCCATCCTTGCATTTATCCATTTTCGCAATATGAGGAGTATGAGGTAGGGTTAGTAATCTGAAAAGAAGGGAAGCAGTTACAAGAGGAACTGTACTGGGCGGACACTGCTTGTTGTAGTCAGTGAACAGACTTCCAATCTCACCCGAAACGAGATAATTGATGCACTATGAATGTTGGAAATGGTTGAGTCTTGCTGACTGATCACTTTTATATGGTGGGGTGTTTACAACAGTAAATCCTCAATGTGATACCAGAGATGAAGCTTGCCATACTCTCCTTTGATATTCGGCAAAGAAGTGAGCGGTGGCTCATATTAGTGTGCCCATAGATTGCAGCCGGGCATTTCAGCGAATGATGCCAACCAAGGAGCAGGCGTGAGCTGATAGTGCACAGTGGCTGTGCTGTGGCGTATTACAGTATCGTGTTCTGTGAAATGGTGCGGCAGGCATTCGACGCGGTGGAAAGCGGTAATGCTAGATATTAATATAATGAGAACAAAGAATTGATTCACAAAAGCTCAAAAACCGACAAAAATTGCCCCCCCACCCAATGGCAAATATCTCTCAAAGCCTCATACGACCCCCTCCCCCTTCTCCCAACAACGAAGAAGTACGACCCCCTCCCCAGTAAAAAAATACGATTCCCCTATGTTCTTCACAAAGCGATGCTGTACCCTAGGCGTGTTCACTGTTTACGGTCATGAATCCCCTACAATTTTAGAGGATGCGACGCAGGCGTTGCGGCGCAGCCGGGTCGCCCATTTTCACCAATGATGCCATCGTTAGCCCGATGTACGTCTTCATCAATGCGGACCGGTGGGGCGTGTCAGCCAGTATGAGTGTGCACACTGTTGGAAGCCGTTCTCAGCTTTTTGAAACGCGTATGCGACAAAAAGTGGTAGAAAACGAAGTAATTACAGTAATGTCACTTGCCCGCTTCAACAACTGGTGCAGAACGACTTTGGCCCCGCGCCAAACGCAGCCGCACTGAACCGCCCCGACAGTACGTAATGATGAGGACTGTAGTATGAAGTGAAATCTGTTCTGGCTGCGCTCCAAGCCATGCCCCCGTCACATGCCCTATCGTTTGCAGGAATCATGAACGTACTTCCCTGTATCCCTCATGCATACCAAGCAAGTAGGATGCTCCGGCTTTTGCACCCCTTTTCTAGGTACAAAAACGCAGATCACGAGATGCTCCCCGTGCATTCTCCAATCGACCCATACGACTTACTTCTGACGCGCTCACCGACTCTACCCAGTTCTTGATATAAAAAATCCGCCCTTGATCATAAACGGGAATTGTGTTGTCACTAAAGTAGGCTAGTATACATTCGGAAACCATACTGACAACGATACACGTACGGTGACCTTGTTCGACACATCCTTGCTTGCGCCTATTTCTGCGTGCAAATGCGGCTGTTGGGGTGGGGGGGGGGGTACTCTATGTACGACGTTTCTCTCCAACATTGGCTTTTGTGGGCACGCTGGCATCCTTTTGAACCGACTACTCAGAATAAGCTTCAAGAGAACCTATGGCTGTCGATCGACCAGCGTAACAAGTAGCTTCTCAATCACCTGCTTGAACATGCCAGTGGGGTTCCCAGGCTGTAGGGTCTGACGGCCTGTGGCACGAAGGTGGCCAGGACAAGGTCTCTCACACTCCTTCCACCTGCCACAACCGCCACTACACATAACCTTAGCCAGCACTCTATTCGTATCATTACCTCAGCCCCGTTCCGTGCCACACGCGGCCCACGGCAAGGACCAGGATCTAGGAGATGAGTGCAATTTAGAAACAAAGAAAAAAATATAGGGGAAGCGAATACATAAAGTAAGATGATCCGTTTCGCCCGTTATCGTAGACGAATCATCGATGTCTTACCAATCCCCGGGCTGATAGAGTTGAGACATGGGCATGGACTACATAGGGGAATGGCAGTTAAGAAAAGGACTAACGCAGAGAAAAATGCAAAAAAAAAAAGAGTTGACATGGGAAATCCCAAGTTGAGAAGGAACTGTGCAGGTAATTTGAAAGGAAGGGAACAAAAATAACGGTGTCGAGTTACAGATGGTGTAGAGCAAAAATGGATTGTTGTAGATGGGCTAAACAAACTAAGGTAAATGAGTAAAAGACACTGTCGCAGCTGATTACAAAAGGTTAAATCAAAAATTTTTAGTGGTAAAAGGAGGGCTAGTGTTGAACACCGCTGCCAATGAGAATACCTCTAACCAGTCTACTTATCCTTTTATAGTTATTTGCAATAGAGTATTTGTAACTTATAAATTTATTTTTGTAAATACATTTCACAATGCTAGTAATAATAAATCTTCTTCGTAGCCATTTTTCGAAAGAGTCGTGACCATATCCGTTATTTTGCTTACGAATACATTGAAGAAAGAACAAGTGTTTGGCTAATCTTAACGTTTCCGTATATATAACAGAGGATTTGTTAACAAGGGAAATGTTTGTGTCACTGTGGGGATTACATTAGCAGTTGAATAAATGTCGTTTTGTTATAGACGTTTGGTATTAATTTTACCGTTAGTAATATTGATTGCTAAATCTAAATAATTGCTGGAAACTTCACTTTTATGAGTTTTTTTCAACTGAAGCGTATTTTGATAAACTTGAGAAAGTTGTTCATCCACTTCACCATCAGTTTGGTTATGTACAACAAGCAAGTCATCCATGTATCTATATGGAATGAACAGCTTACTGTTGTTAAACTTCC